GTGTGTGTGTGTGTGTGTGTGTGTGTGTGTGCGTGTGTGTGTGTGCGTGTGTGGGGGTCTGTGCATATATGTTGATGGAAGCATGTCTGACCTGTCTGACTAATCTTTAATGAGGGATTAACTGAACGGGCGAATGAGAAGCAGTCGTCTTGTTAGTAAAAGTGTGTGAGTGTGTGTCTGTGTGTGTGTAGGGGTGCTTCTTCATTCGGGCTTTTACACATCGCAATCAGATACAGAAATACCTCATAAACTTTGATTTGAGAGTGTCCGATGATCTCATTTTAGTTTGATGAACATTAACCACATGAACAATGCCTTATCTTGGATTGAATGTAATGGCATTTATCTGTGAAAGAGATGGCTTTACTCATTCAAAGTTTCACTCGGAATAGAGGCAGCTTCAAACCAACTTAACAAACTCACACCCGCCAACCATCAAACCTACCAAGGTGATGTTGGACCAATGTCTGACTACTGGGAAGGGTTTACAAAGGGCCTAGGGTATGGACACATATGGCATCTAGAAAAAAAAAACACTTCAGACTTGTCATTGTATTGTGATCACATATTTCTGTTGTGACTATGTAGCGAGCTATCCAAGGTTTCCTTCTGCTGGAGTTGGACTGTATGAGACCAAGCCAGACCTAGCAGTGCGATACTGTATATAACATTGGTGTTGACTGTATTTAATAATGTTCATGACTGTTATCTTCTTCTATAATATTCTATACTATGGGTAACTGTTTTGTGGCTTCACTGGCCTGCTGCGTGGGGCTGGCTAACGTTTGGCTAACGTTGAAGAAACATTCAGATGGACTACGTGCACTGCGTCTATATGCACTTTGATTTATCAGGGAAATTTTATTAATGTTTTGTAAATGTTTCATATGACACTTAATGTGCCATCCCAGTTTTTACATCATCATGGAAATTATGTATTTTATTTAAACAGCAAATATAATTTATGTACTTCATGTATTTTTTGTTTTTTTTCAGTCGATAAACAGATCGACTGGTTGATTTCCAAGTAATGAAGTGTTTTACCAAAGTGACTGTGAACTTGTAACTTTCGATACAGTTGAATTATTTTTCTTAAGAAAAGAATATCTATATATTGAGCAGGGGTGGCGTTACATCTCATTGTTTCAGTTCCTGTCATTCTCAACAGCAAAGTTGTATCAATAAAAATGTTTTAAAAAGTGTCTTTCTCTCAATAGGAATGTTCACTGGAGAGATTATCTGTCAGGATAACACAGTTAGTTTTACTGGTTTGGTACATAAAGTCAAGAGGCAGAGTTTGGGAATTTAACTGAAAATTGACGAGCGACGCAGCGCAGCATGAACAAGAAGCAAAAATTAGACACCAAACATAGATGAAAAATTCCGACCTGAAGGACAGATATTTACAACACAAAGACTGGCAGCCCTTCTTTTTCCATTTCAGTTGCTCTGGACTAATCTCGTGACTGCTCTTGATGTTTGGGTTTTTCTCTTCCTCCTCCCTGCATCCTCTGCTAATGGTCTGGCTTTACCACTGTACTCTGCACGGTGTGGAACACAAAAAAGCACTCACACACACACACATACAAACGAATACCCTCTGTGTGTAAACTAACATGCACAGCGAGACTTACGCTAAATTATATACTCTTATTGTTACACAATCTTTTGAAACACATGGACACAGCACACACACCTCTACATAGTCTCTACCCCTGCACCCAGTCTCAGCTCTGTGTTCTCTCCTTCACAGGCCAGCGTTGTCATGGAGACCGCTCCATGTTCTGTCGTATGGAGGTGCTGAAGCGTTATTGCTCTCTGCCGGACTACCAGCGCATGTGTTGCAAGTCCTGCAGCAATGTCACCATCCCAGAGCCTCTACACAACTCCACATCCAGGGCCACTCCCGTCAGCTCTATCCATCCCACTGTCAGAGCTCCTCCACCCACTAGCACCCTCAGTGCTGGTTTCACCACCATCCAACCCACCGAACCTGTCACTACCACCATATCAGCTTCGACTACCAACCCATGGCCCATCACTCATCCTAACACCCCCATCCCTGTTCCTCATTCCACCCCAACCTCACTCAGCACCACTGACATGATTGCAAGTCATCCATCAGCTGCCACCAGTGCTCCTGTTGTCCCTACCGCCTTTTCCATGGCAACCACCTCAGTTATTACCAACTCTCCCAGTATTACTGCTCATCCCCTACATCTGCCGGTCCCAGACACAAATGAAAGCGCAGATCCACAGTTACAAAGCACTACAAATAGTCCAAAAACATCTGGAATAATACCTACCATAGACCTAACTGCAGCCACCAGTCCAACAATCACAGTTCCAGCTGAATTTAGCACTAAAACCGACTCCCCACTGAAATCCAAGCCCAAAAAGAATAGTCCTCCAAAGAAAACCCCCAGAAAGGTGATTCCACCAAAGATTAATCCAAAAAAGAATACTGAGCTGAAAAATACAACAAGAAAAGCTGTTCCACCAATTTCTGCACCAAAAAAGAATACCTTTGTGAACAGAAATCCCAAAAAGAATTCACCAGAAAAAAATACTCCCCAAAACACTACTCCAGCAAACACTACTCCAGAAAAGACAAGCCCCCAAAAGACTACTCCAGAAAAGACAAAACCCAAAAAGACTGCTCCCAAAAAGACTACTCAAAAAAAGACTACTCCAGAAAAGACAACCCCCAAAAAGACTGCTCCCAAAAAGACTGCTCCCAAAAAGACTACGATAGTAAAACATACTCCTGAGAAAAAACCTAAAGACAAGGTTCCACCAAAGGCCAGTCCCAAAAAAAACATTCAGCCAAAGACAAAAGTGACAAAACAAACTCAAACCAGAATAAACAAGAAAAATAACCCAAAACCAGGGCCCAATAATTCTACAGACTCACAAGGCCTAGTGAAAAAGACTCTTCCAAAAAAGAAAACACTTGTGTCTTCTTTTTCCACCACAACTCAGTCTCCCTATAGCCTGGAACCATCAAGAGAGTCCATCTCTTCTACAATTTCCTCTAGCACCAGTGTATATGATCCATTACTTGTTCCTGAGTCAAGAGTCAATGTCAATTTCATCAGTAGCAACACAGCCACGACAGATGAACCTCCGCTGTGGTATCATGAAGGCAAAGACACTGGAGAGACGACACCCAGTATGTTTGATGATCTTGCAACACCCACTGGTATTACAAAGTTTGAGGATGTCACAATGCCCAGTGGAACCTTGCCGCCTGGTGATGTCCATCTGATGAGCAGTGGTGATGTCACAGTAACCAGCGGGACTATTCTCAGTGGAGATGACATCACAGTGTCCTACGGCAATGTTGGACTGGTCAGCGACGCCATTGTGCTTGACGACGGGCTCACCATGGTAATCCCAACCATCAACAGTGAGGACATGACAGATCTTGCCTCCACACCCTGGCTGGACCTGTCTGAGTACATCCCTGTGAGTGTTCCCATGACAACCTCTAAGCCCGTCACCACCTCACCTCCCACCACCATCTATCCTTCAACGGATAAACCAGCCATCACAACCACCACAGGCTTTCCTGTAAAACCTCCGGGAAGAGCTGAGGAGAACAGAGAGAACAACTCCATTGATCTCTCATACAACAGGATCTTCGGTGTGGACAACAACATATCTCGGAACAACCTGATCCCAAAGCGCAGGGTCAATCTCCGAGAAAGAACCAGGAACAAACGCATTCAGGAGCTTCTGGAGGAGAAGCGGAACTTTCTCCTGCGGATGAAGAGAGGCCATGCAGCACGATAGACCAAGCCTTCCCATTTCTCTTATAGAGATGAACGTTTTCTTTACAGACATTTGTAAGCGTTTTTTAAACCCTGAACTGCCATGATGCTTTCTATCAGGCCTTTCACAAAAAACAACAAACTCTCTGTCACATCATGACTATCAGGACTATCAGGACTCCTGCAGAGAGAGAATATGATTGCCAAATGTTTGAACAGTTGCTTTGAAAAATGAAAAGCCCTTTAGAGAACAGACTGTTGCCGATTTGAAGCAAATCGCTTCACCTGTGTAAACACAATAATGAGAAAGAGAAGGGACAAAACCTCCAGTTTGACCAGCACTTTAAAAAGCCAAGCTTGTATCCCTCTAAACCACCTACAGTCTTGTTTGCGGATTCACTTAATGGATGATGTAGATAAGATGTAATAGAGTTTGTAAAATGGTACTATCTCTACTGGCACTTATGGATGCAACAAAATCTACAACCTAGAATCAAAATCTCCGTCTGATATTATATTACAGCCCAGGACTGCAGCTCATTTCCCCCAAACAGATATGAATACCTCTCAGCTCCCGAATAACAGCTGCTGTAGCATTAGATGAAAGATGTTTCCTTTATAAGTGGCCAGCACTCTGAATACCATACACACACACACACACACACATAATTGGAGCTTTCAGAGACCTTAAATCAACACAGTAATGCCAGACAATCAGAAAGTCAAAGTTTCCTTTTGGTTTAATTGCATTGTTAATGTTTACACTGCTTGGATCGTGATGCCTTTTCAAAAGCAAACAGTCTGTCAGACTGCACAGGGTCTTTCACCTCTCAGGAAGTTAAGATACAGTGTGGAGGTCTGGTGAGAGACTTTCTCAAACACTTGGTGATTCATGGATTTTAATGATATATTTTGATATCTCACTAAACCAAGAGAAAAAAACTATATTTTATTGCATTTTTTGTTTTTGTTTTTAATGGCCAGTTAATGGCTTGTACGTTTTGCTAAAAGCAATGTCCATCATGCATTCATTTATGTACAAAGAAAAAAGTATACTAAGCCTGTTTTTATTAACTGTATCCACATAGAAGCTTTGAGGGTCAGTATATTTTCTTTTCTAGAAGTTTTATTATTGGGACATCTCTAACTTGCGGTAACTGCAATAGCACCCACGGATCTTTCTGTACGATATCTGTACATATGAAACTTAAAGTTTAATATTTATTAAAGTTTTAGTGCCTGTGGAATTTTGCAAATTGCCGGTGTTGTGTGATTTTTATTTAGCCTTTGCAACCAATTGTTATGTCCCTCAATCAGTCTGGATATGTGGCACACAGCTACTGTAGCACCTGACCGCTGCATCAGTTTTAGGTCAACTCAGTGATACAAGACTTTGTGGCCTCTAATCCAGTTTGTACCAGTTAAAGGGATAGTTCACCCAGAAATGAAAATTCGCTCATTATCTACTCACCACTATGTCGATGGAGTAGGTGAAGTTTTTGAGTCCACAAAACACTTTAGTCTAAGGGGTAAACAGTGTTAGAGCAGAATCCAATACAATTTAAGGAACTGGTGACCAAAGCTTCAGTACACAGAAACCACAGAAAATGGAGGCATAGGTTATTATGTTTTTTTCTGTTTTATTATGTCTGAAGCTTTGGTCACAAGTTCCTTAAATTGTATTGGATTCTGCTCTAACACTGTTTTGTGTACTCAAACACTTTTCCCACCCCTCCATCGACATAGTGGTGAGTAGATCATGAATTTTCATTTCTGGGTGAACTATCCCTTTAAGCAAGAATTTCATCAAATTGGATTCACAATTCAAAAGTAGTACCGTATCTGGCAAGTAGGAGGAGACAGAGCTTATGTATT